GCCTTCACCACCCCATTGTCTGGTCTATGGGTTATGCAGATAAAACCAACACTTTCTTATAGCCCAATGCTTTTCTCTTCCTCCCTCGTTCAGGCTGGAAAAAGTGGACATTCCTCTGTGGAAGACGCTCAGGCCACCATGGAGCTGTACAAGTTGGTTGAAGTTGAGTGGGAACAGTACCTGGCCCAGAATTCCCCTAAAGATTAGCAGCAGTGGGGACACAGGGCAGTGAACCAATGGCTCTACCTGCTCCGCACCTTTGGAAGCTAGAGTTATTGGGGAGGGTGAGAGGCTCTACCCCAGACGTAATATCCATTGAAATCTCACCTCAGGTGTTGTGTTCTGTGTCTGGTTAAGTATCCCATGGAAGGAGGAAGTTTCCGTGCCAGCACCCAGCCCTATACTGTTTACCTCTTAAATGGTGCTAACCACAGGCCCCAGAGTGCTTTGTTCTAGTCAAGCTTTTTTACTTTCAAGGGCAGGGCATATTGGGAAATTTAGTCTCCCAAACTGCCTTATCCAAGGGTGGCCATTGTATGCCTTCTGTTCTCAAGTGGTGAACAGCACCCCTTTTCACTCTCAAAAGTATCCTGGTTGGATGATAAATTGTATGATCGCATATCAGAGTCTACATCTAGTTTGTGTCAGGATATCGCCTATTTATCCCACCCTGACTTCCAGAGAAGCCATCCCTGGTGAGGTGTGGTCCGTAGGATTACAGGGCAGTCGAGGTAAGAGTGTGACTTGGAAGTCAACTTTTATGATTTAGGAAAGCTGTCTCTTTCCTAAAGCATGAGAGGATTTATTTAACTGAGATCCCACTTGGTAGGTTAAAAGATTTAAAAAGTTTAAATGGTTTTAGTCTTTTTTTCCCCCTGTCAAGGGTAAAAATTTTATTTTTAAATATATTTTTTATTGTTGATTGTATTACAGATATCTCCCATTTCTCCCCTTACCCCTGTCCTCCCAGCAGTTTTTAGGCTTTTACTTTGCTAAACCAAGCCTCTAAAAACTCAAATTGTTCCCTTGATAAATTTTTTTCTTGATAAATTTTAATAATGGAAAAACAATTATGTGGTGTTTTGTGTTTTGTTTTTTTAGAGAGGAGGGGAGAGAGAGAAAAACATCAAAGTGAGAGAGAAACATCAATCAGTTGCCTTTCATATGCACCCTGACCAAAGATTGAACCCACAACCTGGAACTGTGCCCTGACTGGGAATCGAACCCGCCATCTTTTGGTGTAGGGGACAACGTTCCAACCCACTGAGCAGCCCAGCCAGGGTGTGTGGTATTTTCTTATTAACTTTACATTAAACTTTTGTCACGGGTCCTGTAGGGCTATAATTCTGTAAGGGGGTTCCAGAGTCTCTGGATGACACTAACTAGGCCCTTGTTTGCTGGAAATCATGGGGAAGCACTGACCAAGCCTTTTGTGTAGCCCGTGTGCTCTGGCGCCTTGTCCTCATCCTTACCACATACCAAGGACCACACCTCAAATCACACCCCAAGCCATTAGGATACCTGTATATGGAGTGCATGTGGCCAGGAAAGTGACTTGGAGAATGGGCACGTGGGAGTGATGGAGCAAGAGAGGAAGGGTGCTTGGTGCTGCCAGCCTGGTTGCTCCTGCTAGCTCTTCCTTGGTGGTTGCACACCCTCATTTTGGGAATGTGAGTCACAGGTCTAACCTTGTGTCTGGGATCACTGTCTTGAGGAAATGCAGACTCCATATATACAGCAGGACTTGTGCCCTCCTGAGTGGCTGGTTTGGCTCCAGGGGCCAGAGTCACGGTCATGGCTGCTTGTAGCAAGGAATTTTCTGCGGCCGCACCAGACTCGACATGGTCTTGTCACGCCCTGTGCTGCAGGATCTGCTTGCACAGGCAGCTGTTGAGTTCTGAGCAAGTTGGTTCCTGCTGAGCCCAACATGAAATGTCCATGACACCTTATAAAGAGGTGCCAAGTGTCCTATACACTAGGAAAGCCACACCCCAAACTGGGTATACACATCAAAGCACATTACACTATGCTTACATATACATTATATTGTGATCAGTAAACTAGAAAATTCTCGTTTTGAGTTCAGCTTTTAGAGTACCTGTTGGCTGAAACAAACCTGGCTTTGTGTGTATCTTGGTAAAGTAGCACCTGGCTTTCATGCTTCATCCCCTCACCCCATGTTCTGAAGGGTCCCTGGTCTCAGTCTAACATTGGAAAGAACTCAGTCTTACTTTGCTCGCCAGGAAGAACCTGGGGGACTAAAGAACCTTGTAACCATTTCCTCGCTTTTCTCTCACTTTCTGGTCAGAGCCCAGCTTCCCCTGCAGAGTGCCCGGGGATGTCCTGTCGTTCAGTCCTTCCTTCTCCACCCCTCTGTCCCCAGGATCCCAGGCTTCCACTGATAATAGAAGAGCCCCATTGCAGATTGCTGCCTGAGTCTCTGTCAACAAGTCCTGTTTGGCAGAGTGGACCACATACATGATAAAACACAAGCTCTTCTGATATTCTCTTCATGGCATAATGATGTTTCTAATGCTAAGAGGTCCCCTACTGCAGGTGAGCCTGGGAAAGGGCAAAGATTGAGAACTGTGTATGCCGAACATAAACTTAATAGTCTAAAACTTCATGTAACCAAGTGGTTCTCAAAAGAGGAAGGGGGCCTGGCCGGGTAGCTCAATGAGAGCACTGTCCTGATACACCGAGGTTGCAGGTTCCGGGTTAGGGCACAAACAGGAACCAACCAATGAATGCATGGGTAGGGGTAATGGCAGGTTGAAGTTTCTCCCTCTCTCTCTCTAAAATCAATTTTTTAAAAAAATTCAGATGATAGCACTGTCCCTTTCTCCACTTTAAAGAACCAGGGATCTAGTGAAGGCTCCAAGGAGGAATCATTTAATTCCTAGTTTAACAGATGATTACAGCCGACAATAGGAAAGATCAACAGTGCTGTAATTATGAACTTGCCCCAAGGCATGTTAGCCCAAGTCCAAGTTTAGAGATGAATATCCATGTATGCAATATGCCAGGCACATCTATGAATACCCTAAATCTACAGTCTGTGTCTTATTCACAAAGCACCTTCACTTACCTGTACTGTAGAGTAAGTCCACCAAACAGCTGTGTCTTCATAAAAAACGTACAAACCTGTAGAGATATGAGTTATTTGAGCCAAATGGACGACAAATTCCAGGAAGCAAAATCTCAATAAATTGAGAAAATGCTCCTAAGAATAGCAGTTTTACAGCTTATTTTATACATTAGAATCAAAGGAGGAGACATAAGGGGTGGGGGTACATGAAATTGATTGGTAGATTAGGGAGACAGGAGAAAGCAAAGGGGAGGGGATCTCTCAGATTGTATAAAAAGTAAAACAGACTTTTACATTGGTGGGTATAAGATAGTTGACATTTACAGCACATGGAGATGGTACGTAGGGGAACAAGATAACAATGAGGGATTCTGTGGGATGCTTTGGTGAGGTGGGTATCCCTGAGATCTGGAAAAGGGGATTGACATTCCAAGGGTATGTTATCTTAGATGCAAAAAGACAACAGACAGGCTCATTTAAGACTGACCTTGTCGCCTTGGCTGGTGTGGCTCGGTTGGTTGGGTGTTGACCCATGCACCATAGTTCAATTCCAGGTCAGGGCACATGTCGAGCTTTTGCTGGCTCCATTCCCAGTCAAGGCATGCAAGAGGCAGCCAATTGATATTTCACTCTCACATTGATGTTTCTCTCAATCTCACTCTAGAAATTTTAAAAAATAATAAAAAGATTGACCTTTGTCAAGGAAGCTATAGTCCTACTGCCATGACTAGTTTTTGGTTAGGAATTTTTATGTTCAGACTATCCTGTGTGGTTACTTTTGGTCTCTAAGTTTATAAGGCCCACCTTGCAGGTCTCCCCTGAGCTTGTCAGGTTTAGTATATGGTCCCTTTTTCATCCACAGCTGTATAGAGTAACAGCAAGTTACCTTGTTTGACATTGGGTTTTAAGTTTGATTTTACCCCTTGCTAAATTTGTGATATTGTCACTTTGCTTCTTGGAACCTAATGATTCTAGCTTCAAAATCCTGGAGATAGATAATATATATATATATATATATTTCAGAGAGGAAGGGAAGAGGAGAGGGAGAGAGAAACATCAATGATGAGAGAGTATCATTGATCGTCTGCCTCCTGCATGCCCCCCACTGAGGATCGAGCCAGCAACCCTGGCATGTGCCCTTGACCGGAATCGAACCCAGGACCCTTCAGTCCACAGGCTGATGCTCTATCCACTGAGCCAAACCAGCTAGGGCCTGGATTCTTTTCTAACCCTTTATGTTTAACTGATGATTGGCAACTCTTTATTGAGTGCTTCTCTGTGCCAGGCACAGTGTTAACCCCTTTAGGTTCATTTTCCCATTCTCTGTAAGGGAGGGGGTGGTATTCTAATCTAACAGCTGAGTAAACCAAGGATGACAAAAGGTAAGAAATCTTCCCCAGGCCAAATAGCTGAAGGTTGGTGGTGCTGGCACTCAGACCTGTCAGGTTTGCCAGTCTGAAGCCTCTGCTATTAGCCACGCCCTACTCTGCTATTAACACATCCAGGTGGCATCTGGTGAGACTTGGAATCCTTCCACTCAAATTTTTATGAAGCACCTGCTATGTGCCAGGCATTTTGCTAGGCATTAAGGGAAGTAGCCTTGTCTTTGCCCCCAAGTTGCGTACAGCAACATGAGGAGAAACCAGTGTACTAATTCCAATGCACAGTGGCAGGTCCTGTCCACATTCACTGAGAGATTTGAAGCAGGGGAGTGATATGATCAAATTTGAGTATTAGGAAGATGACGCTGGCAGCAGCCAAATGGAAACTGGATTGAAGAAGGGCCAGGAGATGAGTCCTTGTTTGAGTAATTTGGATGAGCAGTGACGGAAGCCTGAATCAATGAGGTGGGAAGATGCATATGAGCATCACTGAGGAGGTAGAATCAACAGGACTCAGAGATCAGGGCAAGAGGACTAAAGGTAGACTTGATATTTGTGAATTACAGTGAACAGGCAAGCGTGGTGCCATTGACCACAGTAGAGAAATGGCAGGCAGAAGAGCAGGTTTTTGAAGATGAATTGGGTATTGATTGGGTTGACTTTAAGCTGCCTAAAGATAGCCAAAGGGAGATATCAGCCAGCAGCTGATACCAGACTGGAACTCAGCAGAGGTAGTAAGTGGCCTAATTGGGGGCAGATTAGCTTTACACATGCAGATGACCTTGGATGTGGTTGACCCTGAGCAGATGTTTAAATCTGAGTCGATATCTTTGGTCTTTCAACTCCCAACCAAGTTCCTGTACACACTGGCTTCGCAAAGAATGCTTAGGGAGTGCATGTGTGCCTCACAAGTGGGGACCCACATGTGCTTGGGGGTGGAGATTTGCTGGGTTGCATGATCTTTAGTTATCAAGGTGGTGACTGAATAGATAAGTGACATGTAGTGGCACTGCAGAGGAGAGGGGTCCTGGTAAGCCAGGTCTCACTCCCCAGCCCTCCCCGTGCACCAGTCCCTGGCCTTTGTGAATTCCTACATAGACCTTTGTTCTGGTGTCTTCTCTGCCCTCCCATCACTTAACTGTGCTGACTGACTTGTCTTGTTTGTTTCTTTAATATGTACGGCTTCTGGCCTTATTTAGGGACATCATCAACTATGCTTTCTTTGAAAGAATATATATAACACATAGGATATTGAGAGGCAGGGTGGGGGGAGAGAGAAGGTGTTTTTAAGAATTTGGCATGGAAAAGCAAGCATACCTTAATTCTCTGCCAGGCTCAACCAGATTCCATTCTGAAATGTTTAGGAGCAAAGCTTTAGAATCAGGCAGATTCTAAGGAAACACAAGGAAAGCTCTTGCACAGTGTGGGCTCAGTCACGCCTCTCCTCTCCCAGGCCTGGGGATTGAGGGTTGGGCCCTGCGCCTGTGACCTGACCCCTCAGTCTCAGTGCACAGCAGCGCCAGGAACCCGACTTGTCTGGCATCCCTCAGCCAGAGGCAACTTCCCCAAAGGCCAGGCCCTTCATTTCCTACCACCCCGTGGAATCCTGTTTGGTGGCCTCTTTGGAAAGATTCCATGAGAGGGATCCAAACCATAACCCAAGGAGGAAGAAGGAGAGTCCCTTGCTCTGGGAGCTGGGGCCCACACCCAGGACCCACAGGGAGGCAGAGGCAGATAATCCAGCCTGGCTGCTTGAGACCTGAGGCTGTGCTGACAGAGTGGTGAGATCTGGGAAGCTTTCCTGAAGGAGAGGAGGTGGAGCTGGAGTAGGAGCAAAGGGGCCTGGGCTGGGGAAAGGGTAGAGTATTCTGGAGGCTTCCTCAGAGGCTAGAGCCACCCCCCACACACAACCCACCTCTGCCCACTCCACTCCAAGGCAGGGACTGACTCCTCCCAGCTTTGGAATCAACTCCCTGAGTCTCCTGGAAGCTGGCACCAAGGGGTCAGGGAGCATATCTGAGGAGACTGGCCCACAGAGACCGTATGCCCACAGGCAGTGAGAAGGGCCCATCCCGGAGAGGATGATGCCCTCTCTCGGTTGTGAGCTCAGTGGGAAGACTGACTAACCAAAAACCCAGATCATCTGGAAACCTGTGGCTGACAGTCCCAGAGCTTTGGGACTTAGGAGGTGTGAAACCGTGGCCAGGAGGTTGGCAACTGTGAAATCCAGGAGCTGCTCTCTCCTTTGATCCCCAGGGACATGTCCCTACGGATTCCCAAGTGCCAAAGCTCCCACTTGGATGTGTTCCCCAGGTTGGTAGAGGAGACAGGCCGGGGAGGCTGGGAGCTTCTCAGGGCAGTGCGCCTGCTCAGCCTGGCTAACTGATGTTCACAGCTGCTAGCCCAGAGCCCTTGGGAATCCAGGCCGGCTGAGAGGCCCTGGTGGCTGGGATGGGGTAGGGGGTACTGGGCAGTGGGAGGCGGAGACTGTTCAGTCTCTCTTTGACAGCTAACATTTTCCAGAGCTGGCGCCGCAGGGGAAAGGAAATCGGAGCTTCCCACCTCACACATCTTTTTCCCATTTTGTTCAGGCTGCCCAGGGAAAGCCATTAGGGCTAGGTCAGGCTGGGGCCTCCCCCCACCCATCTCTCCAGTCTATTATAAGGAGGGGCTGGGGGGGGGGGAGGGTCACTGGAAGGACAAGCCCTAGCCTGCCTAAGGGGCCAGACTCTGAACTCATGTCCCTTCTTAATTCCCTGCCCGCTCATGATGGAAGGGTGGGGGCAGGGACCAGGAAACTGGGGTCCTGGCACCTCCCTTGCTCTTCTTAAATCCCCCTGCACCTCTGATTCTGTCTCTAAGGAGTCTGGCCCTCTGGCCCAAGGGCCAGGGCCTGGTCAGCAGCAAGAAGGGCCCTGGGGTTGGGGAAGCTGGTCCTTATTACTTCACTGGAGCTGCTAGCACAGCTGGTTTCCATAGGCCCCTAGGAGCCGGGCTGGAGAGCAACTATTGTGTCTGGAAACAATAGCTGCATTTGGGGGCTGGAGAGAGGAGGGAAATAAAAGCACTCAAGTGCCTTGCAGAGTTCTCCCCCAGCTGCCTGACCTTCCGAAGGCTGACCTGACCTCTCAGCCCCTCTTACCTGGAACCCTCCCCGCACCAACAGTGCGTCAGTCCATTACCCTCTTTTTATCCCTATCCAGAACCTCCAAGCCCAGACCTGGGACCCCCTCAGTGTCTTCTCTGGGACCTTGCCTTTCCCCCTTCCCTCCTGCCTCTTTCCTCTTCAATCCTGGAGTCTGGTTATCTGGCCCGGTGCCCACCTTCTGCAGTTCAGGCTAGAGGAGGCACATAGCACACACCCAGTCTGCAGCCCTGCTGATTCATCGAGAAACTCCCTCCAGTTCATCTCAATGAGGAGAGGGGTTCCTGGACCCCCGCTCTTCTTCCATTCCCCAATCTCAGAAAGTGAGAGAGGTGGCACTGGGCGAAGGCTTGGGCTCCCTAGGCCCAGCACCTTGGGCAACAGTGGCAGGCTTTGAGGCTAGACCGCAGGTGTCCAGCCGCCAAACTTGTCACAGCTACAGCCTTCTCCCTGGTGCCCTGGACTGCCAGGGGTTAAAGGGCCAGTGCAGGGCAGGAGGTGGGATCAGCAGAGGAGTCTGGCCCAGTCACTGGATCACAAAAGACAAGAGGAGTTTAACTGCAGGTCATGTTGCTGATTGACTTCTCCATCCAGCAGGGCTGCCCTCGAGGGGAGAAGGAGCCACAGCTGGCCAGGGTCAGGCCCAGGTCTGATCCGCTCTAGATGTGGACTTCCCCCAGCAGTCCCAGCCACACTAGATCCCCATCTCTCCCTGGAGGTTCTCTGAGAAGCAGGGAGGCCAGGAGAAAGTTTTTTGGGGGGGGGGGGGGGGGGGGGGGTCAAACTGGTGCCTTTCACTGTAGTAGGAAAGGAAACAGCAGGGGCCTGAGTGGGGAAAAAGATGACACCCCACCGCCCACCCCCCCATGCCTGACTGGCAAGAAGCACCAATGTGGGCAGAGGAAAAGAGAAGCAAAGACCCCAGGGTCAGAGAATAAGGTCAGTGCGGCAGCTGCCAGCACCTGTTCGGGGTCCCCAGGCTCTTCAATGTCTACCTGTGTACTGCCCCTCCCCTCCGCCCCCTCAAGAGACCTCTTTCAAGGGACAGAGATTCAGTCCAGACACCTCCTCAGTCAGTTCATCCCCTCCTCCTTTTGTCTCCCTTGCTCTTCCGTTGGTTCACCTGACCTGCTCAGCGTGCTGGCCCAGCCCTGAGGAGAGCATTGGCAGCTGGAGCTGGGAACCAGGTAGCAGAGCCAAAAACAACAGGAGCCGCCTGGCTGCCTCGCCTAGATGCTGCGCAGCCCATTCCTGGTCTAACTGTAACACCTCCTATTGCAGCTTCTCCCCCCTGTGGTTCTGACCCTACCGGGCCACACCTCCTCCCTTTGCCAAGGCCTGGAGCTGGCCCTAGAGGTCAGCCTGGTGTTCTTTGAGTCCAGCTGCCCATACCTTCCCTAGTGCTCAGGGTCTCTCCCCAGCACCCAAAGGTTTCTGGGAAATGGGTCGCCTATTTTCTGGATCTCTGGCTCCATCTCCCAGCTTGCGCGTCAGCTTGCTGGAAGTTCTTTTTGGTCCCATCCATCCTGCTCAATGGCAATTTTATTTGGGAGAATCAGAGCCTTATCAGATTTGAAAAGGGCTGGGTCCCTGAATCCAGGGAGACAAGAATGGAACATTCCCATGGGTATGGAGGATCAGACCAGACCAGGAGGCAGGATGCTCAAGTCCACACTGTGCTAAGTGAAATGCTGAGCGTTAGGGAGACCAGGAGGCACAACTGTTCTGGCCCAGCCATTCCCAATGGTTGGTCTGATTGAATAATCGAATCAACACCCCTCCCCTGGGAACTGACCTTTAGGCCACTTCACAATGGACATTCCCTTTCACTGAGACCACATTCCATTTGCTAAGACCATTATCCTTCCCCTCTGGACCTTCCTTGGATCTGGACCGCCCAGAGAATTCTCCGCCCAGAAAAAGCCCGCCTAGAGTCCTTTAAAACCTCTGACTCCCTGTCCCTGGGTGCTGGCGCCATTTTGGGGCTCAGCCCATCTGGTATCCAGATGACCTAATAAATTTCTAATTTCTTACCACTCTGGCTGCATGAGTTCTTCCTTCGGCAACCCTAACACCAACTCCTTTTTTCCACTCTCAGACCTTCCACCCTCTGTTCAAGTCCTGCCTTCTTTGCTGCCCCTACAAGGAGTCCCAGAGACTCAAGGCCCACCCCCACCTGGGTTTCATTTCTACATGACTCCCAGCCAACAAACTCTCTGACCCAACAGATGCAATAACACGGCTCAGGGTGAGGCCCTTCCACAAGTGCTGAATTTGGCCAGAGCTTCTCTTTGGCCCCAGTTGGGGGTGAGGGTGAAGGGTACATGACTCTCCCACTCTTCCCATTCCTCCCCCCACCCAGCCTCAAGGGAGTGATAGAGAGGGGTGGGGTGTCTCCTTTTCCCAAGGCCCAGACCCCTTAATCGAGCACACAATATATCCACTCTCCCTCACACTTCCCCAGCCATGCAGATGCCTGCTCATCTCCATTCCTTCTGTTGCAAAACCAGCCACTTTCCTCTTCGCCACACTGCAATGCAACAGTCCTAGAATGTTCCTTCCCTAATTCTCTCTCTAGCCTGTTTCCTCCTCACCACGCCCCGTCCTGCCTCTGCTCCCCCAGCTTTTCTCACCAACTTTGCACCCTCCCCAACTTGAGTCTTCAAATTCCTGGGAGAGCCCCCAGAGGGGTATGGCCCAGGCTCCTAGAAAGGGGGAGCGGGTTGCCCCCACCAGATCTGGTCGTAATTAAAAGACCAGCAACATTGAGAAATTCCTTATTGATCCCGGCAGGAAATTAGAGCCAGTTGTTTGGGACTGAGCGACTGATGCTGACTAAGCTCCCCCCCATTGCTAGGTTCCCTGGCCTCTCTCCTAGGCTCCCCCACTCTCCCATTCTCCTTCTGTTAGCCCCCTTTCCCCTTACCACCCCACCCCAGCCGTCTCATCCCATTCCCTTTCCTTGACTCCCTTCCCCAGCATCTTCCCTAAGCTCCAAACCCACCCCCCCGCCCTCACCCCTG